TCTCTCTCTCACACACACACTCTCTCTCTCTCACACACACACACAACACACACACACATACACACACTCTCTCTCTCTCTCTCTCACACTCAAGCTCACACACACCTGTCTTGTGTCGCGCCGCCTGCTGTGTGTAAGACAGGGCCGTTTGTAGCTCCGATTTCTCAGACACTAGGATGCCGATGGTCTGAATGTGAACCTGAATGTGGAAGACATGCATCAGTAAACACGCACAAAAACTTCCATTTATATAACAGCACTGACATTAAGCTAATGTCAATTAAATTACATTCAACAGTTAACATATTTACTGTTACATTTGTAAGGTGGAATTTTATCATCACATACATTTCCTCTTAATCACAGCCAAAACTGGTAAATGACTTCTGCTGTCAATAAAACATCTGTTGTTTACTATATTATCAACAAGTTCCTGAATGAATCAGTGCCGTAGATCTGAGCACTCAGATTCGTTTGAAGTGAGTGAATTTGTTCAGTCAGATTGTATGACCTGTTCGATGTAATTACGGCCAAATATTGTGTCGATAATGCTCCCAGCATACTTGTTTATTAGCGAACAGGACATGACTTCAATCCTGCATAATCTGTTCACCTGTAGCTGTTCACGCATCGCTCCTTGCTCCTTAGTGAACTTCTGCTCAAACTCTTTCCGCTCCTGATGAGAAGAGATAATGCACAATAAGAGAAGACGCTCATTAATAAACCATAAATGAGCAATCTAATAACACTGCTGGCAGCTTACTGTACCTTCTGTAGTTGATCAGAAAGCTCCTGAGACTGCTTCGTCTGAAAACAATGAACAAACAATTAACTCATGTGTGTTTATTAAGTAATAAATCATTAAACCGACACCCACAAGCATGTTAAACAGGGACCTGAGCTTCGTTAAAGACAATACGAATTCAAAATGCATCTTATTGACTTAAAAAATCATTGTGCAAATGTCTGATCTGAAAAATGCGCTTTAAAATAAAAAAATATGTTTGACTGATATTATTAAATAAAAAATATATTTGACTAATATTATTAATATTAAGTACTAACATCAAATCTTAACATGTGCAATCCAATCTAAAACTTACTAAAATAATGAAACCGAATAAACAGAATGAAAATAATAAACAGTTATTATGTATTAATATTAACCATTTAATTAACTCAATAAAGCACTCAAGGCATTAAAGTGAAGTATATGCACAATACAGCATGACCTCTCAAATAGACGAGTAAAGCAATGTTTACTAGGCCATGCATTTGTGTCCGAATAAAAGTTAATTATATGTGTGTTTAATAATCCTATCAGTTCACAATGTATGCAATCTTGAACCTCTAATCAAAGAATTGCTTTTGTTCCTCTTTTGCAAGTCACTTTGGACAAAAGCATCTTCTAAATGCATAAATGTAGAAGTTAAAATCTAAACTTAGTATGCAAGACGACCGTCTGAGGCACAAGAACATGGGCAAACAATTTAAAAACTAGAAATTGAAACCATGTTGCATGTTAAAAGTAGCAAAGTAGCAATCAATGTCACATCTTCAAAAACTCCATTGTGCTGCACTCTGTTACTGAATGCTTGTGAACTGCATTATGGGGCGTTACAGACACACAGCCACGTATCATGCACACACTCTTACCAGTGTCTCGAGTTTGGACGAGAGCTGAGTGTTTGTGAGCGCGCTGGAGTCCAGAGCCACTGCCAGCTCCTGGTTGCGCGTCTGACGTGTCAGCATGCATAGAAAAAGAAAAAGAGAGAGAGAGAGAGAGAGAGAGAGAGAGAGAGGACAAATGAAAGGCAAACAGGCGGTGATATGGTGTAACACAAAGAATCTGTTATATGTGTAATTGGACTCTCTAAACACTGAGTGATGTGGGATACTAACAGGCATTTGTTCATATTCAAACTGGGTGACATTTAACATTTTACTCAAGAGTGTTCCTAAAGTAGAAACAAATGGGTTATCTCTATCTGTATCAAAATTGTAGATTTGTTACAGACCAAAGCTATTGATCGCATCATCTTGAGCATTTAGTCATTTATAATGAGAATGATATGAACCAAATATATGAGCTATAGTAACAAAAACTGCTGAAAATGTTTGAAGTTATATACACTACCACTCAAAAGTGTGTGATGAAAATTATGAAATTACTATTTAATATTTGAATTAAGCAAGGATGCATTAAATTTATCAAAAGTGACAGTAAAGACAGTTAATGTTACAAAAGATTTCGGTTTCATTTTTTGGATTTCTATGTTTAGTTATTAAGATTAAAAAATGCTACAGATAAAAAATATGAGCACTAGTAATAATGATAATTGACTACCACGAATAAAAAACTGCTCAGATTGGGATCAAGTTATGTAAACTACTCTTCAAAAATGTGTGGTCAAAATTTATATTTTTAAATAAAATAACACTTCTTTATTTAGCAAGGACACATCAAATTGATCAAAAGTGACAGTGAAGACATTTATAATGTTTCAAAATATTTCTATTTCAAATAAATGCTGTTCTTTTGAACTTTAAATTCATCTGTGAATCCTGGAAAATAAAATGCATCACAGTTTCCACAGAAATATTGTGCAGCACGACTGTTTTCAACACTGATAATAATCAGAAATGTTTCTTGAGCAGCAAATCAGCATATTAGAATGATTTCTGAAGATCATGTGACACTGAAGACTGGAGGAATGATGCTGAAAATACAGCTGCGCATCACAGGAATACATTACAGTTTAACAGATAATCACATAGAAAACAGTAATTTTAAATTATAATAATATTTCACAATTTTTACTGTATTTTTGATCAAATAAATGCAACCTTAGTGAGCAGAAGAGACGTTTTTCAAAAACATTAAAAGTAACGCATGACTGCTATCTACAGACACTCAGGCTTCTATGCGGATGAAGCCAGTGAAACTTTAACTTATAAACAGAGCCTCGTTCTGCCATGCAGCCTGTTACAGACGTGTGTGTGACGCTGAATCAGGATGTTTGTTCAGTGTGTAGCAGGAGATCATGGGATCAAATGCCAGAACTAGTCCTACAGGACACACCGCGATAACGCACATACTGACAGATACATAACCAATTATACCAATTAAGATATAGATTACAGAAGCACACAGCACAGATAAGAGGAAAACGGTTTCAGGTCTTTTTTAATACTTTATATTTAGCAGAAATAGATGAAATTGTTCTTGATTTGGTCTGTAAACCATGAGGGAATCAATCGATTGTGAAAATGATATCAAGTGACTAATCAGCATCAGCCAATGCTGTAACCCTACAGACTACAAGCTATTTCCATCATAAGAACTCATGCTTCAATAAGATTATCCTGCTAGTGACCGTTCAGAGTGGTAATTATAAACTGCTAGACTAAAATAAATGACCTTACTGTACAGTTTTGCACATCTACTTTTAAAAAAAAAAATAAAAGCTCAGGTGAATTAATAGTAAAACATATCAAAATACCTCCAGTTCCTTCTCGCTGACCGTCGGCGGACCGCTGTCTCCATTGATGTATGTTGTTGACTGCATTAAACCCAAGAAGAAAATCAGAATTCAAAGCTTTGCCCCGAATCATTTAATCAATTCATTCTGGAACGGTTTAAATGTTGATATTTGGGTTATTTACAAGTGTTGCATACAAATTAAACTGCTTCTATTCCAAGTCTTGCAAAAGTGTTTATACATTTATGTTTGTAATTCACTCAAGCCATGCAAGTTCTAAAGAATTTGGTTTATTTGGGAGGAGCCTGTTGAGTTTAGTTCTTAAAAGTCGAGACGAAATCAAAACAGGTAATTTAATTTCTTAAAAAATGCATTTGGCCTCATTTGTTGTCAATCTAGACCTTTTATTGACATTTTAAGAAGTCTATCCACTTCTGAAATTACTTTTCTGCTGATGTAATCAAGCAGGGTGGAAAAATATAACATCATAGCATCCCAATCCAACCAAACCCAAAGACTGAAGCAAGCAGAAGCCGTGACTCACCTCAGACAGCAGTCCATTGAGCTGCTGGGAAATCTGTCTCAGGCTCTCGGTGGACGACAGCGGCCTGCAAACACAAACATGTGAGTTCAGCGTATCAGAACAGACCATTAGGTGCTACAGTTCTGAACTAAACAAGCATAACAAACATACAGAATCAAGGGTATCTGTGTAGAGTTAGTGTGCATGAACAGACAGAATAAAGCAGCAAGCTACAGCTCTTTATATAATAAACATTTTTATATAATAAACTTGAAGTATATTACATTTTACTACTTAGTCAATAACATGCATACCACACACTTTCATACTGTATGGTCATTTTTTAAACAAATGACAATGTGTTGTTCACATTATCGCACGAGTAGTTCATAAAAAAAATAAAAAACAATTATAGTATTTTTATGCTTTTCCACGTTGAATCCAGGGTATTTCTAGTCAAAAAAAAATGTAACAAACAAAAAAAAAATGTAACTACTTGAAATAAAAAGCATTAACTGAAATAAAACAAAATATAATAAACTTTTATTTCAACTAGTTGCCGAGGCTACTTTTCTCATTTTAATTTAGGTTAACGTGAAGCACTAAAATAACTAAAATTAAAACAAATAAAAATTAATAAAAACAATACAGACGTTTCTGGGGAAAAAAAAAACTACGGAAAAAAAGCGACAAAAGAGTAAAACTTGAATGAAAATGAAAATAGAAAATGTCTCATCACAGAGATTTTTGGTAAGATTCAAGACTCTTTATTGAAGTTTTTTTTTTAAATGCATCTGGGAAATAAGAAATGGAAAATATTTCCAGAACCAATGCATCAGAAAACCTGAGCCGTCACTGTTGCGCTCTATAAAACAATAAAACATTCTGATTGGCTGTAACGGTGTCATTCTTCAAAGAGAGAGAAACTTGTGTCACGTTCATGGCATGATATTTCTGTAGTAGCTTGTTCTCAAATAAAGAGTAAATTCACCTGTTATCTTCCAGAGGATGTTCATCGCCGTTTGCATCTCCTGTGTACTTCTGCTGGAAAAACATTTGAATGAAAAACACAAACTTGACATGCAAAACAAGACTTATGTGACAACATACCCGACAAGGCAATGCACCAAAAGACACACATGGATCAGATTAAAAACATGAGCAAACAACACACACAACAGCCGTGTTTCAAAACAGTTCTAGACTTCTGAAAGCCAGCTAAGGTGACTGACACCGAGACAGACAGACCTGCAGGCCAGGGTTATCAGAGTTAATAGCAGAAGCAGGGTTAGAGACGGGTTCAGCGCTGGTCTCCTCCAGCTCCTGCGAGACCCGGTCCACCGCATCCACATCATCCTGATGCAATACAGCGACAGAGACACATTAGACTCTCCGTGGGTTAAAACACACAACACACACACACCACATTCACAGTAAATATGCACAACAATCTATACATCCTCATATTTATCAAGTACATACATATAAAGGTGAAAAAAACATTTCCAGGCGTTCAATTCAATATATAATCAATCCCAGTATATTCAGACCCTGAAGCTTAATTTTGCATGCTAAAGATGCATTAAATTCAACATGAAAAAGCATTCACAGCATGCACTGTAAAAATAGATTTTATGAAGTTGCAAAATAAAGCTTTATTGGTGTGTATGTTTTAAAAGAAAAATACTATTTTAGTCTTTTAATCCAATGTGTTATTTGCCATTTCTTTGTAATTAGATGTTGCATTTACTTGCAATTTCTGAGTGCAAATGGTTTCTAAAAATTATTTTCAGTGCGAGTCGAATTCATCTAGCATATGAAACATTTACTGTATTTCTTTAAAATAAAGAGCACTGATGAATCGTTCACAATAAGAAACATGAATGAGTGATTTCATGCTGACTTTAAAAATTGCAACAGATGATGCAAACACCGACTTCTTCCTGCGATGACGATCTCACAGCATGCGAGGAAACACAGATGACGAATCAAAGAGCAAACGGAGGAGAAAGAGGAGGGACAGTGAGCAGCTCACCTGACTGTTGTTGACAAATGGAGGCTGAGACACTCCATTAGTCAGACTAAGATCAGACACCATAACTTTGAGAATATTCTCAATCTACAGAGGAAGGAGAGGCAGACCATAAAGCAAAAGGAGTGAGAGAGGAGGAAGCAGTAGTGATAACGTGATAAAGCAAACACAAGATGAAGGGTTAGTAGCGCCCGATTCAGATCAATCACACAGCTGGAAAACACACCTTTCTGGTATTTATATAGGCCTACTATTACAATTAGAATTACAATTTATTAGTATTTTGAATGAGCTTTTAGCTTATTTTATATTTTATGCTTTCATTTTAATTTTAGTCATTTTGTATTGTGCTCAGGGGTGTGCGATATATATCGTCTGCGATAATATCGTAATTGTTGTTTTAACGATGTGCGATTTGACATTATCGAGTATTTTGCAAAAAAATACATGTGTGTAAATACATCTAAATGCCACTTCAGATGCAGCTTCTGTGTTGATTTCATTTGCTTGGTAACAGCCCAATTCCCTGATTAAGTGTAAGAATTTGACTCAAAAGATAATGGACACTTCTAGAAAAAATGGCTTTATAAAGGTAAAAATGCCCATAAAATGTAAAAATCTGTTTAAACTTATTGGAAAAGATTAATTTCTATCAGTATGAACTGACCACCACACAGAATATGAAGAATATTAAAAACATTAGGAGTCAGCTGTCTTCGGCAGTCCTTAAGGTACCAGCACAATAACACACTCAGCAAAATATCGTCTAATTATCGTTATCGATAAAATCCCAGAAAATATCGAGATATTATTTTTTGTCAATATCGCACACCCCTAATTGTGCTTTTATCATTTTTATGAGTTTTTGTTATTTTTAGATATTAATATTTAGGTTTAATTTTCTAGGTTCAAGATCCATCACAAACATATTACATGTGATGTAATGTAGAGAAATATTTTTTTCTTCAGTTCATCATCCCTCAGTGCAACAACAAACTCAACCAACAATGAATTAAGCACATACACATTAAAAATAGAATATAGTTCATTATATTTATTATATTATATTCTTTTATAAGACATATGATGTGAATACAATAAACTGAATATGGCAGGGAGAAAAGAATAGAGCAGTGAATTTTTTATAAAAAATATATTAAACTATACAATGTACACAGAATCTGTATTTTAGTGTTTCAACTTCAACTAAAGCAAAACTAGAAATAAGTTTACATTTTTATTTATTTCAGCTTTAGTATTAACAAAATGTTGCCTATACAAAAATATAGTTAGTTAGTCAGTTTTAGTGCTTTAAATTCAATAAGCATTTTTCAGTTAGTTGCCAAGGCAACGTTTACTAACGTCAATTTATTTTAAGAATTTCATTGAATATTTATATATTTTGTTTTAATGTTTTGAACAGATTCATTTTTAGTTAGGGTTAATAACCCTGGATCAGACTCTCTGTAATACCTGTCGAATTACTGGCTGTTATGTGTAAACATGAATAATTATTATAAATGAGAAACCAATAGCTGTACAAAAACAGGCCCTCAAAATGGTGAAGAGGAAAAATAGTTCAACGAGCAAAAACTGACTAAATCCTCAAACAGTTCCTGAAACGAGGATTACTTCCTGCAGTGGGAAAGAGTCATTAACTGATCAGTCAAAACACAGCAGACAACCAAATCCCATCAGAGCAGACAGTGAGCATTCATCGCATCTGACGTGGATCGATTACGCACCTGACTCACATTGTCCGGCGAGTGTCTGTCCGCAGCTGCATCCAGCTGAACGCCTGCTTTAACCTTCCTCTTCTTCTTTGGTCCAGCACTTCCTGTGGATGGGGTTGTCTTCTGTTGAAACTCCTTCAGCTGCAGGACACAAGAGCAGAAATGTTTGATATTAAATATATCATATTACAGCTACAGTCAGTCACGAATGTGTGCAGATACACTGAAAAAAAAATGGTGTAGTAGGATTAAGTTTGAACCCATTTGTGACCCTGGAGCACAAAACCAGTCTTAAGTGTCAATTTTTCAAAATTGAGATTTATACATCATCCATAAATCAGCTTTCCATTGATGTATGGTTTGTTAGGATAGGACAACATTTGAAAATCTGGAATCTGAGGGTGCAAAAAAATCTAAATATTGAGAAAATCATCTTTAAAGTTGTCCAAATGAAGTTCTTAGCAATGCATATTACTAATCAAAAATTAAGTTTAGATATATTTACGGTAGGAAATTTACAAAATATCTTCATTGAACATGATCTTTACTTAATATCCTAATGATTTTTGGCATAAAAGAAAAATGTATAATTTTGACCCATACAATGTATTGTTGGCTATTGCTACAAATATACCCCAGCGACTTAAGACTGCTTTTGTGCTCCAGGGTCACATTTTCACTCCAAATTGCTAAATTGAAATTAAAAAGAAAATACAAATGTTAAGTATCACATTGAATTAAATGTGAAACTTGAAAGGAACACGCCACTATTTTTGAAAATAGGCTCATTTTCCAACTCCCCTAGAGTTAAACAGTTGAAGTTTACCGTTTTCGAATCCATTCGGCCGATCTCCGGGTCTGGTGCTAGCACTTTTAGCTGTAGCTTAGCATAGATAATTGAATCTGATTAGAGTATAGTTCCTAGCCATATCGGCCTAGAAAATCACAGCTTTTCATTTTCCGTCGGTCTTAGTACACGACACTGCTGATTAAAGTCACTGAGCAAAAATTATGAAGAAAAGTAATCCACACGACTCCAGTCCATCAATTAACTTCTTGTGAAATGAAAAGCTGTGTTTTTGTAATAAACAAATCCATAATAATAATAACGCTACGAGTCCATAATCCATAATAACGCTTCCTCCAGTGAAAAAGTGTTCTGGTCTGAATCAGGAGAGAAAGACTCTCATTCTGACGGCACCCATTCACTTGCAGTGAGACACTGATGCAATGCTACATTTCTCCAAATCTGATAAGGAGACAAACTCATCTACATCTGGGATGGCCTGCGGGTGAGTAAACTGTCTGCAAATAATCATTTTTAGCTGAACTAGTCCTTTAATACAATAACTGAAGAAAGGCAGAAAGGACTCAATCTCAAGTCAATGATCTGTCCTAATTCTGGCACAGTTTAAACACACTGGTTGGAATGCATTGTGAAAGTGTGTACAAACTAAATCAAGATAACTAAATCAAGTTCCACTGCACCAGTGACAGATATGACAACAAACTGCACATTCTGTTCGAGACTAACCTCCCGTCCAATCCTGCGATATGAGGACACGTCTCTAGCGGGTCAGGGTCGCAGTAGTGTGTTTGGGTGTGAATCAGCTCTCGTGGGACGGACGACTCTACATCAGATCTCATATGACAGAGCCTTGCTTTGCCATAACTTAAATTCCAGGGTTGATTTTTTTTCAAGCCGTGTTGACTTTCCAGGCCACAGACCGCATAAAGGACAGCAGCTGTGCTTCACAACCTACAGCAGACATGAGCTCCCTAACTAGACAGCACTTTTGGGCATCAAGTGGCTGCCTTCCTAGACAGCACACACATACATCATTAAAATCAATTTAAAGATCAATTAAACCTCAAAACAGCAATCTAAAGAGCATAATGAGGGCAGATTAAATCTATTAGTTAAGCACTTTTACTCTTAACAAACTAGACACTGAAGCAGCTGTTTCAATTAGAGCTGTCATTTTAACTAGCAGTTAGCAAGTACGTTAAGCTAACACTAATCAGTTGGTTAAATGAGCCTAAAGTCAATAAGAGTACTAAAATGGTATACAATTAATGTCTAGTTTTGGTTTATTTTAAACTAATTCACATTGTTGTTGTTTTTATTCTGTAACTAACGCCAAAACACTGAGGCTAACAGCATTAGCATGCCAAGTTAAACTAACACTGACTCACAGACACCTATGAAGCGCATTTCCGACAGGTTTAAATCGTTAAGAATGCGAATAGAGAGACGAACTCTTAATGAGTTCGTATTCAGGCCCTGCCGCAGCTCAGTCCCCGGGCTTTCCTGACAGCCGCGCCCGTCCAGGAGTGCTGGCAGCCGGATGCGGGCCCGCGGAGAGGCCGGTAGACGTGGAATGTCAACATGACGGATGAAACACGCGCTCGGACGCGATTCAATTACGATCATTAGTTGTGTTTTGTCACAAAGAGTGTAAAAGAAGACGTGAAAGTACATAAACGTACCTTTTTCTTGGCTGCAGCGAGTTTGATTTGCCTGTTCTGGTCCGCCATCCTCTCGCGCTTGCACACACACACACACACACACACACACTCACACAACATTGAATTATAAACTGTTCGTAGAATTCTAAAATGTTAATTTGTTCTACTTTTTAAATGTATATACATGCATGTTTTTGTTGCATATATATCTGTTCTAGATTCAATGTAAACACTATGCTTTGGCAATACATTGTAACAATTGTCATGCCAATAAAGCACATATTGAATTGAATTGAATTGAATTGAATTGAGACAGAGAGAGAGAGAGAGCTTAATGTGCTTCTCAATTCTTATTGTGCATTAGAATCACAAAATTCCCTAGATTCTAGAAATCTAGAAATCTTAATGTTTAAGCATATAATGATATTCTAGGGCCTAGAATATCATTATATGCTTAAACATTAAGATTTGTAGCTACTCATGGAAATTACTAAAGTAGTCAAACCTGTTCATTAGAAGGGGGTGTCCCAATACTTTTGTCCATATAGTGTAGCTACTTACGAAAATTAACCATGGTTTTACCACAAATAAACCAAAAAAAATGGTTACTACAGTTAAACCACAAATTAACCATGGTTTTCCTACACTAACCATAGTTTAACCATGGTATTTTTGTAGTATAACTGTGGTTACAAATGGTAATCAATACACCAAAAACCATGGTTACTACACTTTTACTACAATAAAACCATGGTTGATTTTCATAAGAGCTGTGCGTGCAGCAGCTGGAAGCGTTTGTTGATGATCAGTTTTGACTACATTTTCCACTTCTGATGTCATTTCTAGCGAGTTGAATATTCTCTTTGTAATCACCAAAGCACTTTCTATTTGATCTGATATTCAAACAAAATACCCAAAACATTAACAAAAAATATGATTAGGCTATTTAGTAAATATATATTCTTATTGTATAAGAGTAAAAGTTTGGAAGAAAATGTTCTGTTTAACCTATTGCTTGTATTTTGGAAAATGAATGACGTTGTTGTTGTTTTTTCCGGTTAGAATTGTTTTGTTTTTTTATTGCATATGAGCATATATAACAATAAGAGAAATACAACTTTGCATATAAATGCCATCAGTACACAAGATTACAAGTAAAATAAAAAATTAGCCAGAGGAAGAAAGAAAACATAAAATAAATAAATAAAACAACTAAAATAATGAAGACGGTACAGTTTACTTGTCTATTTCAAATTTGCAGATAATGTTAGAAGTCCTGAGAGCTTTTTTTGTTTTACATTTATATACCATATTACAGTATTGTTTAAATTCGTTGATAAAATAAAAAAAATTTGGTTTACCACCCGACCAGTTCCTTTTTTGTGTATATGAAACTTCCCCATTACAACCAGTAATTGAATAATATACGCTGTATCCTTTTCTATCCCATAATCATCAACATATATCATTATATCAGACCCACCCAGTTGAACAGCTGTATTAAGTTTTCTTGTAATGAAATTCTCAACATCAACCCAAAATATCTTTGTATAGATGCAATGAAAAAATAAATAAATAATTGTTTCTTTTTCATTACTACAAAATTCACAGTCAATATTCAATTTAAAACATTCCAATATGTTTCACCGGATAAATTCTATGCAATATTTTATACGAAACTTCCTTTATTTTGTTATTAACAAAGAATTTATCAACCATTCTCCAAGCCTTACGCCAATTTAAGTCTCCAAATATTGATGACCAGAAAAATCTAGCTGGAGGATATGTAACATAATTTACTAAATTTCTAATGTATTTATTTGGTATGTTGTTTTTTTAAATATTAATATTTAATTAATTAATATTATTTTATGTGTATGATAATAAAACTCCATCACTATTCCTCAACTGACTAACCAATAAAATATTATTTTCAAACCATATATAAAAAAAAAGTGATTTAGGTTTATATAAAATATCTCTGTTATTCCAGATATAATATTTTCTAGGGGAAAAGTTATGTTTAAAGGCCAATGTCCAAGCCATGAGAGCTTGTTGATGAAATCTTGCAAGTTTTACTGGAATTTTGTCAATACAATAATTGCATTTTAACAAAAATTCAAGACCACCGACTGACTTAAACAAAAAGTTTGGGAATGTGTTCCACATGTTATCTTTCTTGTTTAAGTACTGTGTAATCCAATTCATTTTAAATACATTGTTTAGGTATCATAATTTAATACCTCCAGGCCCCCATTGTCCTTTGAATTGCATAATATCTCTTTTCTCAAATAATGTGGTTTTCTTTTCCAAATAAAGTCGAAGAGTAATTTGTTCAACGTTTTAACTACTTTAGAAGGTAAATCAAGTGTTAAGCAAACATCGCCTTGGACAAAAGGACCCTCCCCTGCAAAGATAAATCCCTTTGTAACCACATATTAAATCTATTGTTAGTTTTTCTAATTATTGGATCAAAGTTTAAGTCACTGCGAATTATTTCATCTTTACATATGATTACTCCGAGGTAATGCACAGTGGTTTTGATTGGAATACCAGATATATTTGATAAATTGCAATTTTTTAAGGGAAAAATAACCGATTTACTCAGATTCATATGTAATCCTGATACAGATGAAAAATCATTAATACAATCAACAGCTTTATTAACTTCATGTATATCTTTTAGAACGAGTGTTGTATCATCTGCAAATTGACATAGCTTAAATTCTTTTCCCATAGTTGCAATACCTTGAAAATATTATTTCTTGAGATGAAGAGCTAATAATTGGGTTGCTAACAGAAAAAGAAAAGGAGAAAATGGACAACCTTGTCTTATTCCTCTGCCAATTTCAAATCAATTAGATGTTCCTTGGGCCAATTTTACAGAACTAGTGCATCCTTTGTATAACATTTTAACAGCTTTTAAAAAATATTAGCCAAACCCGAAAAATTCTATCGTTTTAAACAAAAAATCATGTTCTATAGTGTCGAAAGCCTTATGGAAATCAACAAATAATATAAGACTATTATCTGATAAGTACTCATTAAAATCCACCATGTCTAAAATCAATCTAATATTGTTACTAATGTGTCGTCCTTGAATAAATCCAGTCTGTTCTTCATCAATGTCATCTAATCAATGTTTCAGTCTTTTAGCAAATATGTACAAAAACTTTGGCATCATTATTAAAAGACTAATAGTTAATTAAACAGAGACTTTGAAGACTATGCTACTGTATGTTGGCAGCTGAACGCATTGTCAAAATATATAATATTTAATAAATACGCAAAGGAGGCTGTGGATATTTTATGAATAATAGGCTATCATTTAATATAACATACAATGTTTTTATGAGCACATAGTAATTGAAAAGACTAAATAACTAAATAGTGATGAAGCCTTGAAGTAATGACTAGCCTCTAAAATATTATAAACATACATGAAATATATGAAATCATGTGTTACACACAAACTTAAGCACACAGTTAGATACTAACTTACAGTACACAAGACACATCATAAAACACATAATACATTGTACTTCTAGGTAAGTTCAGGACAAATTCAGGACTGACAACCGTATTCTGCTGCTGAACATGGCCTTACATTTCTGGAAATAGAAATCATCTGATTTTGATTCGCACTCTGAACCACTGGTTTGCACTGCTCTGCTGCACCTAATTACACGGCACTCTGTTTGTTGTTAGCAAGACAAAAAGTTTAAAAGTGACATTTTTAGGCTGCTCTGCCACAAATATAATGCATTAATATAATGCACTGTTAATGCAATGTATTCTTTTCAGTTAGTGCAATTCAACATGGCTTATCACTGAATGGGGCAGATTTTTTACAGTATTCTATACAGTGATAAAGGCTATGTCGATTAGCATTGCATTTTAAATATACATTATCCTTTTGAAAAATACCTGAGATGTCTTGAAGAATACTGATAAACCATACACTGTTGCAATGGTGAGCTAATTCTCTTCACGTTTCAGTAACTAATTTTCAGCACTCATTTTCATGGGCCAGTATAAAATGAAATAGTGACAGTGTGATGCTGTGTGTCTTTGTGTCTTCAGTCTCTGCTGATTGTGTGACTGTGACGTCTCTGTATGCCATCAGCTGATCCTGAGGAAACTGGACTGACGTCTGAATACTGAGAGTCCTTCAATAAAACACACAGACAGTCACATATGAGTATGAGACATTACTGCTGTCACATCACATCAGCAGATCCAGTTCAGAAAAACACAGCCAGAGATATTAGTATATTCATATTACAGCCAGAGATATGAATGAACAACTGATCATAGATTGATAACAGTAAATGATCACTTACACACAGACACTGTAAGAGATTAAAATATTCATACATTCATAAATCAGTCACATCACAGAATTAAACATAGATGAACGTATTATCATCTTATATTCTCCAATCACACACACAGGAGCTCTGTTACTGAACTTGGGTCAATATAAAAACTTTAAATAATCAACAATAATCACAATAGTCTAATGTCTCCAATTTATAAAGTGGATCATCCTTCAGATCAGAGAGTAACTTCACTCCTGATTTTCCTACTTTATTCAATGGCAGATCCAGCTCTCTCAGGTGTGAGGGGTTTGATCTCAGAGCTGAAGCCAGAGCAGCACAACCTTCATCTGTGATGCCACAATCCCTCAGCCTGTAGAGAACAATGACACACTGAATTGTAGTTGAAGTGTCAGTATTTGTTATTGACTCTGGTCTCAGAGCAGGAGAGGAGATATAATGACAAAGAAACAGTTACTTGCTCCTCTAATAAACACCTACAGGAGGACATTTGCTTCACAGGAGCCACGTGTTCACCATTTATTAACAACTGTAGTGATCAAAAACCATTGTGTCATGTTTGGACTCATCTGGCAACTTAAAACTGAATAGAAATGCATTGAACTCAATAGAGATATTCAGGGTCTTAATGTACAAAGTAAGAACTATTGCGTACACATGCATTGAAATCATGTTAATGAGCTTTTCTTCTCGCTCTTAACCTAATTACCTCCAGCTTTATTGTCTTTGGTGTTTATATTCCACTTTGATGAACTTTCTTTCTTAAATAATGCTTTTCTCAGGATATAAGACAGGGATGGGATCGGTCCTGGAGGACCACTGTCCTGAAAAGAAATGTGTGACTATCAGAGAGATCTTACCACAGTGTCTCCAGTTTACAGTGAGGATTCCGTAGTGCATCAGAAAGCAGCTTCACAGCATCTCCTAGTTTATTCCACGACAGATTCACTTCTCTCAGGTGTGAGGGGTTTGATCTCAGAGCTGAAGCCAGAGCAGCACAACCTTCATCTGTGACGCCACAATCCCTCAACCTGTAGAGAACAATGACACACTCTTCACTCTCTCAGATCGGATCAGTTTAGATGTGAATCCATTATTAAAAATAAAGTACAAACCTAAAGCACAAATCAATATGTTTGATGGATCACTGGACTGAGGTCTAAAATGTCACAAAACATGATCATAAAACACAAAAGTCTCATTGAAGAAAGATAAATTTTCCTTTATTGCACTATGCCTGTACTTTTTTAATGCAAAATCTGTTTTATTAATTACACTATTCACTACATAGATGGAGGAGTGATTGTGTGTGTGTGTGTGCGTGTGTGTGTAAGAAAGGCTTCCTGGCTCAGGGACTCAAAGCGGGGACTTTTTTCCTGTGACACATCAGCGCTACCCACTGAGCCACTCTGCCGCCCCATGTAATAACATATTAATTGTATATGGTTATATTTATTATAATCATAAGTGGATGCAGCTTTATTGGGACCCTACTTGTGGCTCTCCCTAAAGCCCACTCCTACACCTGCTCCTAACCCTAACCATGTTTACCTGCAAAGCTCCATGAAGAGAGCCACAGTTCTGAGAATGCTAAAAAAAATATGAGATGATCTGCCAGCCTCCCTGATCAATTAGAAGGCCTATTAAATAACCATTAGGCACTTTATTCCCACTACTAAATGCCCATCATACACTTTTTGAATATTTAATGTTTGTTTAAAATTAACACATCTCCGAGCTATGATGCAATGGAAAATAGGGAGAAGGAGGGGATCAGGAAAAGACAGATTTGTACTCGGATTTGTGTTAAAAGCTTTGCCCACTGTCCTTACTCTCCCACTGACAGTATGTGACTGGTTTATTTTGTCATTTTGTCTGAAGGGCTATGTGCACTATGCGTAAACAGATAATCCATTTAAAAGGTTTTTGCTACTGCGAAAGGGTTAAAGTGAACACAGAAGTCCACACATGTACAAGAAACAAAGTTGGTCACACAATTTTATACTATCTGTACGTCTTGATTGACAGATGCCTTGTCCAATCAGTGATAAGTATTCCATTTGCAAACAATAACTCCCTTTTTTGTTTTGTCTGTGTGAAAAAGCTCATGTTCAGTTTGTGTTGAACAGGGTATTATGTTGGTCTTTGAATTGAGGAAGTGTGGTTTATTTAGCGATTGAGCGAGAGCAAATCAGTTCAGTTCGGGAACGGTGCCATTGAAAGCAGAGGTCCTGCAATCTCACTTGAAAAGCAGCAAAATCTCTTTCTGCAGCACCTTCACTTGGTGCTTAATCATTCAAACTTCTTGCTGAAGTTTCGTTTGTGACAATTCTTGTATGTGCATCATTGAAAACCGCGAGTTTCATTTGAGTGTTCATTATATTTTTATTATTATTATGTCATTTATTCACTGTTTTAACTTGGTGTGCGGCTGCATTACATTTGATGTAATATGAGAGTGTAGTTACCTGATTAAGAGAGATATTAGCAGTGAACATGATCGCCCATTATATGGCTGTAATGACTCATCGTTCATTGCACATTTATGCAGGTTTTTTTGTTACTGATTAAGTTTATTTAGTCCATTGTAGAACCATATTCGAAAGTCATACACATAGACAGGATAAATATTCAGTAGCACACATCAGACTTATATACACCTGCATTCATTGTTACTGAGGATTCATTGTGCGTCAAAGGACCTGAGACTGCAGCTTAAAGACCAGCTTCATGTCACTATCCTGACACTGGAACGTCTTAAAAGGACTGTGGAGACCAACACTGACTATTGAAATCATTGTTTTCACAACCTAATTGTGAGACCAGCTGACATCTGTATCCTTAAAGCCCGCATCTGTTGAAATCTTTCAATTGATGTATGGTTTGTTATGATAGGACAATATTTGGCTGAGATACAACTATTTGAAAATCTGGAATCTGAGGGTGCAAAAAAATCTAAATATTGCACTCACACTCACACACTCACACACACACTCTCACACACACTCTCTCACACTCACTCTCACACTCACTCTCTCACACTCACTCTCTCACACACACACACTCACTCACTCACTCACTCACACTCACTCACTCACACTCACACACTCACACACACACACACACACACACTCTCTCTCTCACTCACACACACACACACACACACTCTCTCTCTCACTCACACACACACACACACACACTCTCTCTCTCACTCACACACACACACACACACACTCTCTCTCTCACTCACACACACACACACACACACTCTCTCTCTCACTCACACACACACACACACACACTCTCTCTCTCACTCACACACACACACACACACACTCTCTCTCTCACTCACACACACACACACACACACTCTCTCTCTCACTCACACACACACACACACACACTCTCTCTCTCACTCACACACACACACACACACACTCTCTCTCTCACTCACACACACACACACACACACTCTCTCTCTCACTCACACACACACACACACACACTCTCTCTCTCACTCACACACACACACACACACACTCTCTCTCTCACTCACACACACACACACACACACTCTCTCTCTCACTCACACACACACACACACACACTCTCTCTCTCACTCACACACACACACACACACACTCTCTCTCTCTCACACACACACACACACACACACTCTCACACACACAAACGCTCTCTCACACACACACACGCTCTCTCATTCTTTGCATTGTTGTGATTTCTTTGATGGTGAATATGTACACAGTGTACTTGATTATTGCTATTCAACGTCTTAAAGAGTAAATTAGTACAACATGGTACAATTGCCTGCTCTTCATTTCTCTCGTAGCCATTGGACATCAACTGCAGAAATCAACCCTCTGAGATGGTTGGCACTATAATAGTAATTGGTGCATTGCAGTTCCTTTCAAACAGTCTCGCTTGTCATTGTGTTTTCTGACATGTTTTGTGTTGAGATTTGTTGTTTTGTTTTCAAATTTGTAATGTATTTTGCACTTCACATACAGTATAGTTTACAGTGTGTCATATATGATTTTACCACAGTTTCTCCAGTTTACAGTGAGGATTCTGTAGTGCATCAGAAAGCAGCTTCACAGCATCTCCTAGTTTATTCCACGACAGATTCACTTCTCTCAGGTGTCTCAGAGCTGAAGCCAGAGCAGCACAACCTTCATCTGTGACGCCACAATCCCTCAACCTGTAGAGAACAATGACACACTCTTCACTCTCTCAGATCAGATCAGTTTATTATTAAAGATATAGTATAAACTTAAAGCAGAAATCAATGTTTGATGGATCATTGGACTGAGGTCTACAGTGCGTGCATACTTATTAGGCACGTTGTTATTCTGATCATTTTTTTTTTCCAAGCACATTTTACCAATTCCAAACCACATCAATCTTAAAGGGGTCATCGGATGCAAAATTCACTTTTAGATGTTGTTTGAACTGAAATGTGTTTTGGCAGTGCGTGTACACGACCACCCTATAATGATAAAAATCCACCCAGTGTTTTTTTTTTTAACCCCGATAAATCCAAACCCCTTTCTCAAATCAAGCCGATCTCAGATTCTTGGCAGAATGACGTAGTTCTGCACAGGCCCCTCCCACTATTGTTGATTGACAGTGTCGTTTTAGCTTAGCTCCGCCCTGAGTGACTGTCATCAGTCCACCATGGTTTCACCGCTGGAGCAGATGTAGACAAGAATGACTCCTAAGTGATTGAGGTGTTCTGTTGTTGGATGTAATAATGAACATAGCAGTCGTCATTTACTCCCGACATCTGAGTAACGCAGTGGATTACATTGTTTCTGAAGGGAATGCCCCCCCGATCTACAAAAATGCGTCTATGTTCGCGCGAGTCATTCGTGATCCAGCTTCACCTCCAGAAGAGTGAGTATAAGTTTTTTTTATGAATCTTTGCAAATCGCCTTTCCTAATAATGTGCTAGTTAGCAAGTTTCACGATGAATGCGGCTAAAGTTTACCGTCTCTTTTAGAGAACGGCTCGTCACCCCACAGAAGAGAGGGGCGGGGTGAGCAGAGCTCATTAGCATTTAAAGGGACATGCAACGAAACGGCTTGCTATGAACAGAGCTGCTTTTGACAAGGTAAAAAGTGTGTTGTTTTACACTACCTTTGAGAAGTTTTAACTAAAGTATGTTATAGACTTTACATTAAGACCCTAAAGAATCATATCAACTTGTGGAAAATGGGCATCCGATGACCTCTTTAATAAATACTATTAATTTTGTATTTAATCATTTATAAGTGATATATAATTGTACATGAAGGCTGGAAGTAAAAAACGTTTTATATTCAGGTGTGCATAATTATTAGGTAGGTTTCATTTACAGATCAAATGAGCCAAAAACGAGATTGAACTCAGAATGAAAAGTCAAAAATTATTAAATGCCCATGAGAAATATTCAAAGCTAATGCAATGCAGAAACTGCAAAGTTAAGACATGACACTTGGACAGCAAAATGCTCATTAAGTCAGCACGGTCAAAAAAACAGGTGGAGAAGAAAAGACACGTTAACTGCAAAATAATTAAGTTTAAGAATTAGGTGTGAAACCATCAGGAACCCTTTAGTCTCCAGCTCCACCACTTTCCACAGCTGCAACCTACCTGGAGTCTCCAGATGTGCAAGGTGAGTAAGTAAGTTTTGGGAGCTAATTTTTAGTCCATCTCTGCAAGACAGACTTTTCAAGATAGGAGTTGGACTAAAAATGAACTCCCAAAACGTACTGCCAGATTCTGGAAAGATAAATTCTTCAAAGAGTGGTAGAAGAGGATGTGGTGCTGGTCCTTCAAGAGTCACTCTCAACTTATCGGTCTATAAAGCCTATTAAAAAAAAATCATTCTTCATGTATTTTTACTACACTTCAGCATGTTATTCTTATTAATTGAGGGTAATTTTTTAAAAGATTTTTTACCCAAGCAAAGTCTCTGAAAATCTGACACCTTGTACTTCTGGAGACTCCAGGTAGGTTGCCGTTTTTGGAAAATGGTGACACTGGAGACTAAACGGTCAGATCAGAATCAACGTGCCTAATAATTGTGCACGCACTGTAAAATGTCACAGAACACAAAACATGATCATAAAATGTGTCTGTCTTATGCTAAATCTGTTTGCATGTATAGCTAGGCATCCCTCTCGACAGCCCCTGGAGCTGTAATTGATGACACTATTCACTACACAGAATGTGAGAGTCAAATATTATCTTACCACAGTTTCTCCAGTCTACAATGAGGATCCTCCAGTCCAGCACAGAAAAGTGTCAGACCAGAATCTCCTAGTTTATTCTCAGACAGATCCAGCTCTCTCAGGTGTGAGGGGTTTGATCTCAGAGCTGAAGCCAGAGCAGCACAACCTTCATCTGTGATGCCACTATTATACAACCTGTATAGAGATGAAGATCATACATATGAAACACTACTAAAAAATAAAAAAAACATCGGTTGATATTCACTGTGGGCAAATAGGCATGATCAAAAACTTCAGTGATTGTATTTTTCTTCAAATAACAGATCAAGAGTGTAGGGGTGCATCAGATCACAAATCTCACAGTTCTGATCATATTACAGGTTTTGAGTCACAGATTGTTTTTTTTGCAAGCAAAAAATATATATTTAAAGAACATTTGAAGAACTTCAATACCACAGCAAAAACAGTAATACAAGTAAGAACAGATAAACAAATTACAAAAACAGATAAATAAAATATAACAAAGCTACAAATAAAGTAAGGTCTAACATGCAGTTTTCAGGCACAGAAATGTGTAAAATAACACTGCATAGAGTTCACTGTATAAATTAAATATAGATAAATCTTTTTTAAACTTGTGTTTTGTTGTTTGGTTAACATTGATGACGAACAGAAGCAGGTATTTATATGCTGCTGTCATGAACTAATGCACGGATCCGATATAATGATACACATCCGATTTCTTTCTGTTTATGTTCACTTCACTTAAGACATAACTGACTGTTTAAGAGAATACTTGCAGAGACGGATATTTTGAGATAATTTTGTGCGCGCAAAGAGACACGGAAAAGGAATCAATTCTGTTTGCGCGCTGTAAAGGGACATCGCAAGGAATTCTGGGCCCTGTGCACTGAATTTGCGGGGCCCCCTCAAAATCACGTTCAGTGGAGCGGTGATTTTATGATGCGGGATTTTGCGATCGTAAAATGTAAAATAACGTTCAGGGGTGGGGGCTGGACTGGGGTTCAAATTTGGCCCTGGACAAATCGAGCCCATCCGGCCCACAAATTCCCCCTTGAATGTTTTGATGGGTCATAGGGCCTTCAATTGGAGTAAATAAATGAATAAATAAAACAGGACAGAAACAAATTCTGATAGATATTACTGAATTCATGACAAATGCAACAAACTTAATAATGCATTTTTGTCACATAGAAAAGCACTTGACAGTAAAGCATTGATTTTGAGCTAGACTACTGAAAGTTACTTAATAAATTCTGTCATCATGTCCTCACCCTCATGTCCTTCCAAACGACTTTCTTCTGTTGAACACAAAAGCAGATTTTGTAGAATGTGACCCTTGAATTCTACTGTATGTACAAAAATGTCTTGAATTTCTCAAATTATGTTCCACAGAAGAAATTCATACAGGTTTGGAATGACATGATGTTGAGTAAATTATGACAATTGTTGGGTGAATCTCCCTTTAAGAACTTTATTATTTGTAAATAATAAACAACTAATTTATATAAGACACTGATATTTATTTTTAATGGGCCCTATGCACTCTGTCACCCTTTTACCCCCACTAGCGACGCCCCTGGCGCTGTATTAAACTGTGTGCACAGAAAATAGCGCGAGAGTACCAAATTCTCTTTTGCCTCTTCTTGCACTTGGAATGGTTTAAATCGGCAAGACTTAGAAACACATGCAAATCATCAACTACGATCTGTTACAATCTGATACATCGAATTTTAGGAGATTTGAGCTAGTGTATATATGAGCTGCTTCTCCACTTGTTTGGTTGCTCTTGATTTCTGCTTGTTCTTTTATGCCAGATGAGAAATATTTAAATTCCTTCTTTATGTAATTTTTAAATTATTAACTGGAAAACGCTCCGGTTACTGACATAACCTCAGTTCCCTGGGATGAGGGAACGAGCGTTGCGTAGAATGCAGTATGGGGAAACTGAAGCCTGATTTGTTAACATTTGTGTAGCTGCACAAACCAATGGCGCTCTAGCCTGCCAGAAGGGGCGGAGACAACATCTATATAAGTCAGCTCTGAACGCCATTTCATCAGAATCTTTCGACTGAAGTGACAGCCATTGATTCACGTGCAGCTTATAGCACGGCAAGTGACACAACACCAGTGTTAATTTTTTTGACGAATAATTTATCATAATTTTCATCAACTACATTTTTTTCACCAACGAAAATGAGACAATAACGAACTAAAACTCGTTTTGAATGACTGATTTGACTGATTTTCATTCTCAACTATTTACGTTCACTGACATGAGTTACAGTGGTACAAATACAGATATTTTTTGTTTCCTGTGTTATGAGACACTGAACATATGATAGAGTTTATGAAATGTGTCAGTTATTAATGATGTATTTGAGTAATGTGTGATGATGCACTGTATTAAAAAATCCCACAGTTTACCTCACACCAGGGTACGTGCTGTCTTGTGGTTGGATCATAGACTGGTCACAACGAAAATGAGACAATAACGAACTAAAACTCGTTTTGAATGACTGATTTGACTGATTTTCATTCTCAACTATTTACGTTCACTGACATGAGTTACAGTGGTACAAATACAGATATTTTTTGTTTCCTGTGTTATGAGACACTGAACATATGATAGAGTTTATGAAATGTGTCAGTTATTAATGATGTATTTGAGTAATGTGTGATGATGCACTGCATTAAAAAATCCCACAGTTTACCTCACACCAGGATACGTGCTGTCTTGTGGTTGGATCATAGACTGGTCATATTTCTCACAGACGGGTTTTGTTTCTGATCTGTGTTGCAGGACTGACCTTGAATCAAGAATCAAACACTCTGACATTGGTGACATTTTTCTCATTACCTTAATAACAGTTGTGACTTCATTAAAAATGCACCTGCTCAAGATCATAACTAATAAAATTCTCATATGTCATTAGATTTACTGCATTTCCTAGCCAGACTTCTGCTTATATTTATTTGTTGTAGTGCTGCATAATTATGACAGTTTAATTTAAAATATCTTACTATAATCATATCTTTTACAAAAAAAAAAGAAGTAATATTTGAGGTTAAACCTTGTGTCATCACTCTTAAAATTAACTGGACGATACAAAGAAGCGTCACTCCTCATAGACACACAGCTGGGCTCTGCTTCAGATTTCTTCTGGTGAACTGAACTATAACAGAGAGAGATTAAAGGTACACTAAGTATTTTCATAGATGTGTCTCTCTGTGTGGGCAAATGTTAAAATATCAGATTAAACAATTAAATAATCACATGATAAAACATCACAAATATTTCAATTATGTCTGTTGATGAAATATTGTACCTGAATTGTTGTGGATGATCTATAGACTCGTCACTCTTCATAAACACACAGCTGGGCTCTGGTTCTGATCTCTTCTGATCAACTGAACTATAACAAATATTGTATTAATATTAACTTATAATGAAAAATATTATCTTTTCATTTTTACTATGTTGATACAGAAAGCATAAAATAAAGTTCTTTCATAGACTCTCTGCCATAACAACTAATATGAATACAATAATAGCATGAATACCTAATATAAAACAAAAAAACAATATAAATATTACACACAGTTCTGTCTCTGATCTCTTCTGCTGAACAGATTTCATCATGACATTCATTTTAATAAGGCACCTTTTAAAGGGGTCATATGATGCTATTTTAAAGATCATTATTTTGTGTATTTGGTGTAACAGAATATGTTGACATGCTTTAATGTTCAAAAAACACATAATTTTTCAAAAAAAAAAAAAAAGGATGGCCCCCTTTTAAATAAATAGGTGATTTAATATAGTATGTATTCAAATTACCTGCATCCTGGAGAAAAAGTTTGTGTGTGATCCATGATGAAGCTGAACAGACCCTCAAACTCTTCTGAGTGAGATCTCCAACACTTCCTGTTCACTCAAATACATGTTAGTCTTATGTTAACACAAATACTAAAATGAACCACAGACAACACGAAACAGCAACGAAATCACTTCATTTGCTTAAAAATGTAAGTATTAAACATATAAAAACGCACGTCCTCAAAAAAAGAAAGTCACATGCGGATAGCGATGCACGTTTGAACCAGGTTTGAACTGAGGCGCCAGAAGCCCGGAAAGATTCGAGGCTTGTGCTGTTAACGTAGAAATCGCGAGACCACCGAAAAACGAAGCCTCACTTTCTGTCCAGTCACGTGCGCGATTCGGAAAGTCCGAAGCCCCCCCAGATCTTCTTCTTCTTCTGGTGTTTTATGGCGGTTTGGCAAACCAGCGAAAAAGGTGCATTACCGCTACCTACTGATCTGGAGTGTGGAGTGTGCATAAATTTGGAAGAAAGAAATACAGAAGGGAAAAAAAATAAAAAATAAAATAAACCCTAGATTCTATCTATTGTTCCTGTGTTTTTCAGGTATTTAAACATATTTTCTTGCACTCTTGATTGCCTCGACCCATTTCCTAACAATACTTTTAAAGAAATATTATCAACTCCCAGCCATCCTAATTCTTGAATTAATTGAAATCTCTCCCTTTCATATGCAGAACACTCAACAATAATATGTTTCACTGTTTCTAATTCTCCACATTTGTCACACTTTCCCGATTCATGCTTACCTATTTTATAAAGACTATAGTTTAATGCTGTATGTCCGATTCTTAGTCTTGATAAGATGACATCTTTCTTCCTATTTCCGTATCTTTTCCTCTCATTTCCAACACACTCCTGAATCTGGAAAAGATGTCTTCCTTGCTCACATTGAAAATGAATGACTTCCGGCCACTTTGACGCTCTCGACGGCGGCGGTGTGAACGCACAGTAAGTTATTCTTCTATTCATATTTGTTTACATTATTCTTCTATCTAGTATGAAATGTGTGGTGGCTGCTTCGTCGGACGGAGTTTCCTGCTTTATTTTTTTTTTTTTTATACTAACCACCAGATGGCGCTGTTTTCGACACTCTCAAAGCTTTGAATCATGAGGCTTCTTTTTATTGTACAAATCCAAAAGTAAAAGCACAAATAAGTAACTTATAACAGACATTGGCAACAATAAAAAACTATGAAGAACCAGGAAAAAAAAAAATAATTGAAAAAAGAAAAAGGAGAAAAAAATAAAAACCTGGAGTCCTCTCTCCATTTTCTTGTCCGCCATTCTATATTTGGCTCTCTCCCTTTAATATGCAACACACAGTCAAATATAAATTATAAAGAAGCATAAATATTATACATTGACCACAGTGTAAAATATTTTAGGGCTTTGGCATTACATGGAGATAGTATCCAAGTAACATTTCAAGTCTTTACAAAAAATAATAAATAGGGGTTTCACAGGCAAACATGTAAATTTATGTATAAAAATTGTCTAGAAAAATTACAGTACTTGTCTTCTATAAAAACCAAATAACTCAGAGAAGAGAGAAACACGTACAAACAAACAGAATTTCCTCCAAAATGTATGGATGTGGACACAATCCCAAAAAAGGGAGGGACAGACTCATCTTCCACTCCACAAAAGAAGCAAAGGGGACCTTCTCAGGAAACATTTTTAATATATATTGATTGACAGGGTCATACAGGAGCAGAGGCGTCACAATCGGAGGGAAAAGGGGGACAGAGGATGAGAGGGGCCCCATAGATAAACCTGTGCAATGGGCCCCGAATCCATAGAGACTCCACTGCTTTACAGTTCCTCTCAGTTATCAACAGTCTGCACAACCGTGAGAAGAACTGTCACACAAACAAATCACGTCCTAAATCTTCAAGCTTTATTAGGTGGTTCACACAATTTATACTTTGCATAGAAAGAAAAGTAACATTATTCTGGGTTTTTCCCTCCAGAGGATGTAAAACCTTAAAAGTAATCATTTCACACTCCTTAATACAGGTGCAACATGACAAACATATAATGTTGCTTTGATGAAATATAACAAAGAAAAACAGGAATAAGGCGGCTGAGAATAAAAGAAAAGCAACACCATATACAGCAACAGACTATGTGCATTTCTTCACTCACACACATTCTCAATGGTGACTGAAAATAAAGAAAGTGAATGGCGACTGATAATAAGCTCAGGAGGAGACCGTAAGGGGGGCTGTAAGAGGCCACTAAATCTCTGTTATCTATCATTATACACATACGTTTGTTATTTTCATTAACTGTAATAGTGATCATTAAGAAATGTAATATGTCTTTATGTGGGGTGTACTCCATGCTGTGCAGTGTACATATTTGCATTACCATAGTGCAGGTAAAACTGTTTCAAAATAAACTGAATGGAAAACAGTTCATCAATATTGTCTTTAAATGTCTTGTTTTCAGTGCAAATGTTTAAAGACTCTTAAATCAAGATACATAGAGAAGCAAAATGACAGAAGTTGTTTATGACAACTTGAACAAAATAGAGTTTATCATATCAAATATCACAAAAAACGGGTAAATAAAGTTTTAAAAATCAAAAACAACTCCTGCATGGAAAGAGATATTCAAAGTCTTGCATTGAATGTTGTCCACTTTTTGTGCTCTCCGTCCACAGGGAAAGTGTGTAAACTCACTCAGTCAGTAATTTCATTATTAGAATGATCACTGTAATCATTCATGCTCAGTTTGACAGGTCTCTTCTCCAGAATAAAAAGAACGAGTTGAATGCTTTTGGTCACTCTCCTGTACGGGCTCGCTATCTGTAGTTTCCACTGTGGGTGATGACTTCTTCTTACGGCAGAAAAGAATGAGAATAAAGCAAAAAAAAAGAGTGAGAAAGGTAAGATCAGTCCAAAGCGAGTGCTCTCAGTTTGGTCTCCTCCTGCACTGGTGAGCTTCTCTGCATGAAATTAAAGAACAGAACTAGCACACCGTGTTTGTTTCTTTTTCTTTTTTCATTTTGGGAAACTTTGGCTTTTATTTAATTACATTTCAAAGCTTAATATGCTTTATAATTTCCTTGTTATTTCAAACTGAAGAAACCGAGACCCAATAACATTGCCTGTGTCTGATTTGTGAATAAATCATTCTTTTCAACTAATTATTTTCAATGAACCTCATTAACTTTTGATAGCTTATTGACTGCTGGCTAGTTGACGACTCATAATAACTGAGCTACAAACAGGTTTATTAGAGTTAACTAAAACTAACACTGGAAATAAATGCTACAAACAAACAAATAGTAACTAATAAAAAACTTTTTTTATTTCAGTTAGTTTAAACAGAAGCATAAATGTAAAGAATTTTTAAAGCACTCCAGCTGAAGTACAAATGTAAAGAATTAAAACACTCCAGCAGAAAGACAAAAACAAAGTATTTAATCAATTCAACAGAAGTACAATGTATTATGTGTAGTATAAAAATGCCACGATTTCATCTGTGTTTGTTTGTGTGTACTGTAAGTGTTTGTATCCAACAGTCTGCTTAAGTGTGTGTGTGTGTGTGTGTCTGTGTGTCTGTTTGTCTCTGTGTGTGTGTGTGTGTGTCTGTGTGTGTGTCTGTGTGTGTGTGTGTGTCTGTTTGTGTGTGTGTGAGTGAGGGAGTGAGAGTGTGTGTGTGTGTGTGTGTGTGTGAGAGAGAGAGAGAGAGTGAGT